GAGAGAGAGAGAGAGAGAGAGAGAGAGAGAGAGAGAGAGAGAGAGAGAGAGAGAGAGAGAGAGAGAGCATGGAAGTGCTGCTGAAGTGCTTGTGCGCTATCTGCGAGTAGCATGCGCGAAAGCCCTGCTGGGCAGCGCTGCACTGAGAGGGAAGGCGGCCATAGCCGCATGAAGTTAGTAGTACGGATAGAGCTCAGTAGCAGTGGATTATTCAAAGTCAAGATTCTCAAGTATTGAGAGAGAGAGAGAGAGAGAGAGAGAGAGAGAGAGAGAGAGAGAGAGAGAGAGAGAGAGAGAGAAAGAGAGATCAGCCAGATCGAACTGCCTGATGCAGCTAGATCGAAATGTGATCAGCCAAGAGGACTCAACCCCACCATTCAACGTGGGCAGAGGCAACCTACTCTCCATTAACCATCTCTCAATTGATGCCCTGAGAGGCTCCATTTTAAATGGCAATCGCTCAGGCGCCTAGTATGTAGACTCGCAGAGTGCTGCTCATCCAACACCCTCGTACCCGACATAACATCTAACTGGATGTGAGTGGGCACCTCTCAGGGTAGTGGAACTGGTGCAAATTGCATCACTCATCGTGCTAGTTCCACGACACACGGTGCCAGTTTCACCACACATGCAGCACCTGGAGCCAGTTCCACCGCCTGGTCCCAGTTCTACAATGCGTGTACCAGTTCAACCACATCAAATTCTACTTTGTCATAAACATGATAAGGTGCTGCTTTTCGCAAATCCCAGGAAACCCCTGAACCTCGTAACAGATGTCAGTTCCACGACCTGCTGTCAGTGCCACTTCCTGGTGCCACTTCCTGGTGGCGAGTGGATGGGTAGGGAGGTGGTCTTACGGAAAAGAGGAGTGTCAGAAGAGCCAACGGCTGTGACAGTAACCCCACATGTCCGGAGTCCAGCTTCTACTGTTACCTGGGCTTTCTTATTTCAAAAGAAAAAAGAAAAATAAAAAAATAAAAAAGGGGGAAGAAGATTAGGCGGCTGGTGGCATCCAGGAATGGTGGACAGTGCACAGCCCATGTAGCTGAATGGTACGCTCATGCAACTGTTGATAAACAGATCAGGAGTTCGAAACCTGACGGAAGTTCATGGAACCAGATTGATACAATAATTGAGGGCTACCCTGTGGAAAAGAATGAAATAGTAGACAGCACAGGGTAAGGAGGACGATGAAAGGGGTGCCGACATGGAGACTAGTTGAGTGGAAGCGGAGGCTTTTTTTAACCTATCTCTTCTCGTCGGTGGTTGCCAGCGGTGCATTGCGTAGAATGCTATTCGGCTGGGCTAAACTGGCTGGCTTAAAGCACCAGTACACAGCCTCAGCCTTGCAGCAAAATAATTTGTCGCCACCAGAAGCAAAAGGCGGGCTCAGGGCAGGGTCGGAGCGTCAGGAGGTTTTTGAATTTTTAGGCCCATGTCAAGTCCGCACGTCCCAAAAAAGAAAACAAGCTTTGGCCGTGATTGGAGTTGGATACCTTTTTGGAGTACTCTTTGTGAGTCTGCCCTCACTGAGGGCACTTTGGCAGAACGAAGAACACAGGGAGCACAAGTGTCAGACACAAAAAAACTTTAAAAAACTTTAAAAAAGAACAAAAAAAAAAAAAGCCAACGAAGCTTTGGCTGTGAAACTGGTTGGATTCATTTCAACGGCGCTAGTGTGAGTATGCCCTCAGCGAGGGCGTTTTGAGCATAAGGTATATGCGCTGCCTTGCTGGCAGCACAAGGAAGAAAAGAACAAAAGAAGAAAAAAAATTCAAAAAAAGAAAAAACAGCAACGTTTCCCTCTCCCCGTAATAGTGGTCAGATGCATTCCGGAAAGTGATCATTTGAGTATGCCATCCATGACGTCCTTCCACGACATCATTGATCTCTGGCTTGTTTGTTCCTTTTTTTTTTTTTTTTTTTTTTTTCCCCTTCAGGTAGACCGTCGACACCAGTGCCACTTCCGAAATTCCCACTGCAGGTACCCTCACGCAGAAGGCTCGGAAAATAGCGGCGCTGCAGTGGGCAGGTAGGTTCGGGATTTTAGTTGCGGGTGTACGGTGGTTTAAGAGGGAGGGAAGGGGACCTTAGCTGACTTTGTTTTTGCCTTAGTCTATGGGACATAGCTGACTTTGTGATTGCGTTTGTCTCTGCTCTTAGCTGAATTTGTGCTTGGCTTTATCTATGTACTTGGCTGACTTCGTGCTTGTGTTTGTCTATGTACTTACCCGACTTTGTGCTTGCCTTTGTTTCCGCGCTTAGCTGACTTTTTGCTTGTGTTTGTCTATGTACTTAGATGAGTTTGTAACTTTGTGTTTGTGTTTGTCTATGTGCTTAGCTGACTTTGTGCTCGTCGTTATTTATGTGCTTCCCTCCCCAGGCCATTGTACATAACTCTATTCCTGGTATTCACAGCTTCGTTCATGCTGTCTGGTTCAGGTATGGCAAAGTTCTTGTGCTTCTCTTTGGATGGGAAGGAAAAGAAAAAGGAGGAAAAAGAAGGAAGTGAAATTCAAAAAAATATTAAAATGGTAGATGATGATATGACAAGGTGGTAAAAAGAACAGTGGGAAAGACGAAGAGGGTGGAAAAAGGCCAAGGCACCCTTCGCAATAATGGAGGCTGGCGGGATGAGTGCATGGCTTCTGCACTTTAGGACTTGCTGGTGGGAAAGAAACCGAACTGACAACCACAATAATTGAAGTTGTCTCCTGTCGGGGAGGGGGGGGGGGGGGGGGGGGGGGGGGAATTAAAAACGTGGACATGGTCCACTAAGTCGTCCTTGGATATTTTTTTCTTTAATTTCCAGAGAGACAAGAATGCTGTCATGTGTGTGCCATAAGTTTACCATAGTATTATTGCTATTTATTTAGTTGCAACTTGCAAAGGAAAAAAAAGGACGATTGTGGTGACCACAATTATGCAATAGTAAGAAGAGAGGAAGATGTGCTGTCATGCTTCCTTGCCTTCAAAGAGGAGCCATCTCCATGACAAGAGGAACTGAATGCGTGGCAACATACAAGAGCACCAGTGCATGCACATGTGTGTGTGTGTGTGTGTGTGTGTGTGTGTGTGTAGGCAATCAGCAAACATCATCCCCAAATCCTTCCATCTATCCTTCTGCCTTAAATCTCTAAGGTCGGGTGTAGCACTGCTGCAGATCACGTGACCGCTGCTGTTGGATCACTTTCGGAATTCACACTGTTGATCTACAGTCTAAGAAGTTGAGCAGCACCTCATTTGGCAGGTCTTTCTGTTTTCAGCGTACTGCCGGTCTGTGCGGACCCTGCCCAGTTTAACCAGGCCTGGCGCGCTGGTCAGCATCTGGGCAACTGCCAGTATGCCCAAACAGAAAAGGGCTGGCAGCGCCGTGTAGGCTCAACCAGCCTTTTCATTGCATGGGTCTACCCAGACCATGCCTACCGTCTTCCCCCGAATACAGTGTATGCATTGTATGGTCATTTATCGCTGTGTCTAAGACTGAAAGTTGCCCCAAATAGTTATAATGACCGTATGTTCTACTCTAGGGAAGACAGTTGTGCTGGGCTTGGGTCTGGAAAAGGCGGCGGCGCCTGCTCAGCACTGTCAGATCCGCATTCACACCAGGCAGTGGGCCACTGGGTTGCCCTTAAAAATTAGCATGGGGGAACCCGAACTGCTCTGCCGGCTTTTTTCCTCGGCATGCTGATGATCCGGACCTCCAGCTTGCCGAAGTGCAGAGTTTGTGCTGCTGATCAGGTTCTGCAAAGTTCTCCATTGTCGACTGCTTAGCAAGTGTGGCACGTGGAGCATGTGTTATAATCCTGACCAATTTCGAGATACACATCCATCAGATAGTACAATGCCGTGCAATTGCAGAAAGAAATGAATGAACTTGAGAGGAGAGAGAGGATTAGAAGAAGAAGAAGAAGAAGTAAGAAAGAAGAAGAAGATGATGTACACCAGCATAGACAAAAAATGACAAGGCTCTTCTTCTTCGCCCAACAATCTCCTCCTCCTTATCTCGCCCTTCTCTTATTCATACAAGAAATAATAATACAATGTTGAATGGCTGATCCAGAATCAATGTCCGAGTTCCTCTTCTACTGCCGGCATCACTTGAGGTCCACCATAGCCATGGCCACGTCTTCTTCCCTTCCTCATCATAGGCCGAGGCTATGGCGGACTACTAGGCCTTGCCCAGATGCCCAAAGGACAACCCAAAGCAGCTATGGCTGCTTCACTCAGGCCGCCATGCCCAACTCTGCCTTGAAGCTTCTTCGTGTGGCTCTCCCCAGTTGGGGACTCCCTGCTGCAGCGCCCACCAAGGTGATGAAGATGGCTGCCACCATAGCCAGGTAAGTACCCCTGGCGCTCCTCTCCCTTCCTGTCCTTCTTCCTCCTCCGTGTCCTTCTCCTTCCCCCAGCAGCGCTGCCCTGGATAGTGCTGCTCCAACCCGCGCTCCAACCAGTGTGTCGCCAAACTTGCACACCGAGAAAGAGGCCGGGCTCTTCCTCCGGCTGGGAGATATAGCGGCCTGCTTGCCTCTTCGAGCGGTGACTTCCAGGCGGCTCGGCCTTCCAAGCAACCGGTACCTCCTCCCTTTCGGAGGGAAACATCATTGCAGACTCTGATATTGCCCGTACAGGCCCTAGATCCAGACTGGTTGGACTGGTATCCGCATAGACCTAACCTACAACTACTGGGCCTCTAAAAATGCCACTTTTGTCTTCTTCTGCTCGGCCTCCAGTACCCGCACATCTACCTCTTCAGGGTGCGGTACTGGCCTACCCGCTACTTGAGTGTTTTTCCTGCTGCAATCCCTCAATGTCACGGCCACAGGTAAGTACCGGCCCTGAGGGCCCAATGAACGAGCAAGTGCCCTTGCGGGCCACACACACACTCAAGCCAACCAGCACTCAGACAGGCACGGCCACACACACACTCAAGCCAACCAGCACTCAGACAGACATGCAGTCCAGCAAGCGTGCACACACAGACTTAGTAGCAGGCGGGAAACTCAGCAAGGCATTCAGTCTATGGGCAAAACTCAGAAATCAGTCGTGTGTTTCAGTCCATGTTTGGACGGGTCATCACACATGGCCCTTCTGCCTGCCTCGGCCCATACCAAGCAGCCAATGAGTGCCTTGAATCACCTTTGTTGTCGTCCACCTCCAGATTCTCTTTCTTCGCTGCCTCCCTCTCATCCTCCATTTCAGATTGCAACCACTCCGATCCAATCTTCCTCCATCCCAACATCCCATCGCCCCTGCTTTGCTCGTTCTGACCTTCCCATACCTTCCTCTGCCTCCTCCCCCTTCCCCCCCACCTCATTTTTCAGCATCCTCTCCCAGTATCCCCTCACGCCAGCTTTTCCCATCCTTTTCTTCCCCTCACCCCCGACTTCAGATCACAAGCTGCCCCTGCCTCATCTCCCTCCATGGTGACCTCCCCAACCGTGACCTTCCACACACCCCCGTCTCCAGATACCGAGCTCCCCTTACCTCATGTCCCTCAATGACCACCTCCCTCATCTCGCTTATCATGAACTCCCTTCACGCTGACCTTCCCCCCACCTCCATCGTCGGATCACAAGCCCCCTGCCTCGTCTACCTCCATCATGACCTGCCTCACTCCTGACCCCCCCCCCCCCCCCCCCCCCCCCCCCCCCCAAACCCAACCCCCCCATCATCTCAATGCAAGCACCCCTGGCCTCATCCCCCTTCTTTGACCTCCCCTTCGCCCCTTTTCAGGTCTGCCAAAAGTTGTGGTTCTGCTGACAAATTTCAATCATTTCTTCTCCCCCGCCTGAGATGGCGTATTATTCTGTTACCTCTTACTTAATGATACCATGACTCGAGCACACACGGCGAGACTATGCCAAGGTTTGCTGGTTGTTGGATCTTCTGAGCAGCCTTAAGGCAAAACGAAAGTGAAGATTGCAGTGTGTATCTCAGGGTAAGCTGGACCCACTTTCCAGCAGGTGTAGCTCCCTACCAATAGACTGGAGCCCCCTGCAAGACAGGTAGGAGTGCATGCTCCTACCATCACTCCTATCTGTTGTCGTGGGTGTTATTTTCTAAAAAAATAAAATTAAAAAAATTAAAAAAAAGAGGAAACACAAACAGATAATGCAAATTATGCTCACTGTTGTCTCGGGCCTGTGATTTGGTTGTGATGGTTGCGTTCGGTTATCTCCATTGGTCATCTGCACCGAATTTGGTCATTGATCTGGGCAAACATATCTTGGTGATCCATTCGTCTTCTCGCCAGTGTTCAAACGTCCATGACAATTGGTAAGATGGCAGTTTAGTAAATTACCCTCTTTCAGAGTCATTTCTCAACTGTTGGGTTTTCCAAACTGTCCTCTTCCTATGGGTGCGTTAACTCCAAGGGGGGACTATTGTGAGTCCTCTGCAGGATCATGGCCAGTATAGTATGTTTACTATGTTGCTGACTTTGACTCTCTTTGTTTCCTCTGACGGACATCAGGTGTATCATGAAGGGATAACACCCTCAGTTATGGGGTTATACTGAGTTACAATAGGTCATCGATAATGTGGGCTAATAATCTTGTGTGGGTGACTATTCAAAGAATTTGGGGGTCTTGCCTGTTTTCATTCTAATGTTAATGCTGATGATTCTGAAATAGGAGTAACGAGCGCGTTTATTTTGGGGGGACGGAATACCTCCCCTTCTCTTGCTAGGAATGACATTGTGGCGTATTTGGATGTCTGTTGAGATTGGCATGGCACAGGAAAGATTATTAGCATGGCCGCGTCACACATATGCCCCGTACAGATTGACAGATGGCTCACGTTAGAAAAAAATGAAAAAGAGGGGAGAAAAACTTCAAGGAAGATGTCATCGCGGTCCGGATACTTGAAAAAGCACTAGCTCTAAGGTTTCTGAACCTAACTGACAAGTGCTTTCGTATAGTCCAGTCAGGGTTCATACGGGAGAGGGTAGGTGGGTACATCCTCAACAACCTCTCGACTGTAAATGAGGCTGCCCAGGAGCGATAGAGCAAAAACTGAAAACAGCAATTCTGTTTTTCCATTTCCAAACTTAAAACTTCCAAAAAGCTTGTGATCAGGTGAACTGGGCATTCTGAACACCAGCATGGAACTGACAAGTGCTTTCGTACAATCCAGGCAGGGTTCATATGGGAGAGGGGAGGGGGGTACATCCTCAACAACCTCACGACCATAAATGAGGCTTCCCAAGAGCAATAGAGCAAAAACTGAAAACAGCGATTCTGTTTGTCCAAACTTAAAACTTCTAAAAAGCTTGTGATCAGGTGAACTGGGCCTTCTGAACACCAGCATGGAAAAGATGGGGCCGGTACGTAACTTCAGGAAGTGGGTAGGTCAGTCTATCAAGGGGGGGCACGGATACTTCTCTTGTTTCCTCCCCTCCTCCCCCCCCACCCCTCCTCCCTTCCTCCTTTAACTGGGCCTGCCTTGATATCCATTCTGGGGAGCATCAGCCCAGTTCCTTTTCCACTGGCAAGTCAGACCAATAAATAAATCATTAAAAAGGAAACAGTCCACATGGAAGGTCACTGCGAAGGATAGAAAACTCAATATCTGCAAGGCTTTGAGATCGGTTTTATCGGCAAGGCTATGGGATCGGACCGTTTCCAGAATTCCGTGCACGTGTGGTAGTCTACAGACCAGTGGACCGGCAGGAACTCAAGGAGGAGCAAGGTGTACCTACCAGTTAATCCTCTGCGATGGAAGAGCAATCGTTCGGCTTTGATGTATATGATTGTATTACTGTTGACTTACCAGTGGAAAAGGAGCCCAACTGATGCTCGCCAGAGTAGAATGGAGCCTGGACCAGATTCATTGAAAACATATAAAAACGATGTCATCATGGGACACTTGATCGTAAGCCAATAGCAGATGCTGATGGGGTTCCTAGTCAAGTTCAGGGTCATGGGGGAATGTAATGTAGGCACAGAATGCGCACATTTTGGCCCATCCATTCACAATTTCACACCTGCAATGCCCGGAGTGACTGCCATAGAGCCCACTGTCATTGAACTGCCAGTACATTTCCCAGGCATTTTGCAGAAACGCTCTGTGCATGGTGGCGGCCTGGCGCCTCTGGCGGGGTGCCGTTTCACCCGATATCCATCCAGGCAAATCGGGCCTCGCATGCGACCCGTTATTCCTGGGTGGATTTCGGGTGAAACTGCACCCCGGTGTATCCTTCCCAACATGCCAGAATGCCCGGCGTGTTTCTGCAAAATGCCTGGGAAACGTGCTGGCGGTTTAAGCAGCATTAGCAAGGGTTAAATAAGAGGCTCGGCCGGGGCCCTTGGAAGGTTTGCCAGGGTCAAGTAAGCACGGGCCATTTTTCAAATTTCTTTTGTCGCACGCAGGGTCATGCGTTTATGTGATCAAGTGTATCCTCGTGGAAAGCGATGCCCAGCTTGGGTTATCATGCTCCGGGAATTATTTCACGTAAATCTGTGCATGGACCAATGCAAACAGGATTAAAAGCGGTGGATAGCCTTGTTCCAATAGGTCGTGGTCAACGAGAACTTATTATTGGAGATAGACAAGCAGGTAAGACTGCTATAGCTATTGATACCATATTGAATCAGAAGCAGATCAATGCGAAAGGTGTGCAGTGAAGCGGTTGGTTCCTGCCTGCAATGAAAACCATTCGAGGTTGTTCCTTAAAGCACCAGTACATGGCCCCAGGCAACTGGAGAACATGTTTTGAGCACTCCGAAAATTTAGGAGACCAAGCGCCGTAGATAAAATGAATCGGCGGCAGGCAGCCTTCGAAAGGGGCCCGCAGCCGATAGCTGGCATGTACTAGTGCTTTAAGAACTTCAGTAGGAAAGTTTTCAGCTTGGAGAGTCAATGGAGACGATTCAACGTCTTGATGTCATATCTCCCTTCTCTTGTGACATTCAGTGCAGGGTTCCTATGAGTCATTGCGTGAGAGTCACTCTCGGCTTCCTTCTGTCGATGTCTCTCTCTCTCTCTCTCTCTCTCTCTCTCTCTCTCTCTCTCTCTCTCTCTCTCTCTCTC